ATTTTTTCACAGTTTTTCTTAAGTCGACTCACATGCTTAAGCTTTCATTCACACACACTGCTGCCCTTCTAAATATGAGCGGAGACGGATGAGAATGCTTTAGCGAGGCAGAAGGAATGCGGGAGCAAGCAAGAGTGAGGGAGAGTGAGGGGGTATGATCATATGGCGGGAGGTGACTAACCACTCTGGCAGAGCAGAACGAGAATCACAGAAGCAGCCAAGCCGAGAGCGCGAAGCCGCGCCATAGCGTAGGAGTGATTATGCCACGGCACCGAGTGACTACTATTGCCTGCCTCGAGCCTCTAATAGCAGGGAGCTCCTAAGCTGCTGCGGTTTGAAACAAACTAGAGTTTAAAAGTTCGACTGTTAGAACTCCACAGATTGCCGATCGACACTGGCACCGCCTCTCGTTTATACTTGGGGCACATAATGCGTCGATGGGATGATCCCCGTGCCTCTGTTAGCCTCGCCTGTCAGCCTTCAGCCTGCAGGTGACCCTGTAACGCCTGTGGGTTGTGTTTTAAAGGGCATCCGCTGCGCATGAATAACACCGTCGTTTTGAGACAGCGGGTAGCATAGCGAGGTGTTATACCTGCAGTGCTTGTTGTTGCACGACATGGCTGTTGTGTTTGGTTCGCGTTCGTGCTCAGTGCGCGAAATGCCGAATCACCCGTGCTAGTAGTACGCGAGGGTTGTCGCACGCGAAGGTTGCTGTCGCACGACATAACTGTCGTGTTCGGTGCGCATTCGTGCTCGGGCGCGCCAGGCCGTAGAGGGGCCCTCGCATTGCTCGGCGTGCCGAGGATGCACGTGAATCCCCCGGCAAGCGACGTCCGTCAACGCTGCCCATAGTTAGCACAGCCTGCGCCGGGCTCGGTAGCGTTGACGTTGGACATGAACTCTGCCATGACACATCTAGCGGACTGTGTGCTTGCAAGGTAGGGTTTGTTGCCGCAAGAGAAACAGGCCGAACCATCACCACCTGTGACGGAACAGTGCTAGTTCGTTACTAACATAGTTGTGGTCGTTGACGCAAATACATTAAGATTGCTATTAAGGTGGTGTAACATATTACGCTAATATTGGAGTGCGAAATATTTGAATGATTGCAGTAACATGTATGATATGAAACTAGAGAAGTATATATAGAGGCCTCAATGCTGATATTATTGCTGCCAATATGTACAATTTTTTTCAAATTGATAAATTTCTAAAAAAGGAATGAATGTATTTAGACGTATCACGATTACAATAAACCCAAAAAAAAAAAAAAAAAAAAACACATTATATGCAAATAGCAACTGTTGATTCTTTATCTACGTACCTTCAAGTGTAATAAACTTTCACCATTTTTTATCAATCGTTGTAGCCTCTCTCAACTCCCCCGCCGATCAATCGATCGGGGAAATAAAAGGGGGATAAAAGTTGTGTGCGTGCGTCTCACAAATGAACGCTAACTCATGATCATTCGAGAAGCCTACCAATATCGAGCTGTTGTAATGTAAATCAAGAACAAAAAAACATTAGGATCGTCACGAAATTGATCAATTGAGTGTAGCAGCAGAATTCGATTGTAGTGGTTACGGACTCCGTAAGTGGAGGGAGATAGAATCTTGATTAACAAAATAATATCACAATGGAGCGAGCACGTATGCAGCCACGATTAAAGGCACTAACCAGTCAGCAGCGCGTATGGACACGGTCCAGCAAGACCCCAACACTCCTTATGAACCTACCTCTGAGGTTGGTGTGGGTGCTGCTGCTCAACCTGCCGCTGCTATGGCAGCAGCTGCTGTTGCGTCGACATGGTGAGGAATACCGTGAGGAAATGGCCAGACGAGAAGGGGCAGGCGTCAGTACGGACAGTAGTGTGGCAGCAGCAGTATGGGTAGTAGTACATGCGGCAGTACAGGTAGCAGTACAGGCAGCGGTGGACGACACCACGAACAGTAGTACGGGTCGTAGTACGGGCGGTAGTACGAGTAGCAGTACAGGCGGCGAAACGGGTGGTAGTATAGGCACCAACTATGACAATGGCAGCTGTAGTTGTAGCCACTTACGACAGTATAGGATCGTGTGGCAGCGTGGGCGGTAGTGTGCATGGCTATGGGCTGCAAGGGCACAAGCGAGAGTAGGAGGAGCTGTTGGTGGCGCACGATGTAGCAGTTACATGTGCTGCAGGCGATGGCCTATGCTGCTGCTAGCATGCGCTAGCGGCGGTTTGTTGTTGTTGACGGTGGCCTATGCTGCTGCAGGCATGCGCTGGTGCCTATTCGCTGCTGTGGCGCTACTGGCGGCTGTCAAAATGCATATTGCTATGTAGGCTGTAGTGGGGTACTCAACAGAGAGTATAACCCTTTTAGGGTTTCCCTGTATGTACTCCCCATGCCTGCTAGTGCAACCACCTTTCCTTTCCTTTACATTCTCGCTTGGTCTTCTAACAGCGGCAGCCTAGGCTGTGGCGACCACGCTAGCGTGGCTGCTGGCATGCGCCTAACATGACGAGAAATGTGGTTCGCGGATGGGCCCTACGAAGCGTAGCAACGAGGCCGCGAATAGGGCCTAGCTAAGCGCGACGGCCTGCCCACTGACCAGCCTTGTTAAACGCGACGGCCAGCCCGCGGATGGGCCTTGCTAAGTGCGAGAGCGAGGATCGCTGACGGCCTTGCTTAGTGCGACCAAGCGGGGGGGAAGGGGGGGGCCGGGTCCTTTTTCTTAGCAAGGTCCATCAGAATGAAATTGTACATGACTGTAAGCAACCCTAAGAAATAGGCTCTAGCCTAACAAACTATGTGCAAGTATATAATTTGACAAGAGGGCTCGCCTGGTGGTGAAAGGTTTTACTCAAATTAATGGCGCAGACTACGGGAAGACGTATTTACCAGTTGTGTGAGAGTACAACAACTACGCTTATCCATAAGAATATATAGTTATAGGCACCGAATATGTTACACGCACCAACTTCGGTGCCTTTCATTTTAGCACCGAGGTGCCTTTATGGAATTCAGAAAGGCCCCGTTCAGGACGCTTCGTGTCCCTCGGAACCTTCTCGTAACGTCCTTGTTACCGGCCTTGTTTTACCTTTATAAAGCCTCGTAGTTGTACCTAAATTCATTATTCGAATACTGAACTTGATCCTCACGCTTGGTAGTCAGAGTAAGTTTAGACGTGAAGGTTTTCGGCCGCTACAACGTATGCTAAAAAAAAAAAACCGCTGAGGCGACGACGAAAAACGCTGATTCAAGTACGTGAACTAGTTCCGCAAACCTATAAAGCCTCCATCGATTTGGTTTATGAACAGGCATGTCGGGCATGGAGGGGCGGGCAATGCAACAACTTGGTTCAAGAAACTGCTGCCCACGCCAAACAGGAGCAGACTCGCGCGACACTTCTATGATTGGAGGCATTCATTGCAAACCAATTGGCAGCAGCAGCAGCAGCAGCAGCAACAGCGAACGCAGCAGCGACGGCAGCAGCGGTTATGACATCGACATTTCAGGCAACAGCATTGGCACCAGCTACAGTGAATCTCGAAGCTCCTCGTCCAAGGCTACCAGAGGCGTTTGAGCGCAAGAGGAACCGACGTTAGCAGATTCATCGCTACGCTCAAATTATATTTTGAGGCCATTAGATGTACGACCGCGACACACGGCGCAGTGCGGATTCGGCTCGTTGCGACACTGTTACGAGGCCTGACACTTGAGTGGATCTACAGTAATAGTGAAATCCGAGGCAAAGGATCGTGGGCGCAGTTTCGGTCAGCCCTCATCAAACGTTTTAAACCAATCAATATATCGTGTATGGCGACAGATACGCTGACACCGACAATTTGGCAGTGTGGCGCAGTACACGCAGCAGATGGAAAAAGGCTTCAACCACATCAACGACTCAATGGAAGGCTGAACTACGAAGTGCGATAACAGGTTATCGTGGCGAAATACAACAGGTACTAGGACATGGTGTGTGCCGCCGAGAGGTTCGACGCGCCGACCAAAGGTCAACACGAAACACGACGCAACGCGCCAAATAGGAAATTCGGCACGGAGCGATCGGCACCACCTACGATCGCTGACCCGATGGATATCGACAAGGTTGACGCGGAGTAGCGGCCAGCAAAAAATGAAACGTGCGAATTTTGCGGCACAATAGTGCATCGAGTTTTGTTGTGTCGGAAAATGAGGAAAGCACATTACATGCCAAGAACAATGGAGCACCCCCAAAAGTAAAAATAAGAGGCGTGTCTTAAGGTTGCAAAGCGTTTTGCATAAGTGCAACCCATCCTGTTTACAATTTGTTTAGTACGAACTTGAGTGACACTTCATGTTTTTTGGATGAAGTTTGGAAATGACATCAGCAAGAATATGACCTGTGACCTTCCGATTTCGCGCCCTAAATCAGCCGACTGCACCACTTCTACTAGCATGCTGTACAACGTAGTTTTATTCCGTAGAATATGTTTGTGACGAAACTGAAACTACTTGAGGGTTTGTTCTTCTCCTTCCTCTCTCCCTTTCCTCTCTGAAGCCAGGTCCTTCACATACTCCCGGGACCTACCTGCCACCGCTGGTAAGAAGAACATAATCTATCAAGTAGAGCTTAGATGGTACATGCTAGACCAATCAAAGCGTGTGTGCTTTTTAGCTATCGACTACCTATAGGTCGCTAGAAGTTGCTACTATGTAGCATTAAGAAGATCCAACCATTTTACCTTAGGAGCTAGGTAGTTGCTATTATTTCACCTTCTCTTTCTCCTTAGTTCTTACTGCCGCATTTTTCGTCTCCCTACCTTGGTTCTTTCTACAATTTTCTTCCACCATTCCCTCCTCTTCTCCTTTCCTATAGAACATTCAATAGAGAACTTCTAGTCGTTTCCATGCTTGTCTTTCTGTGCTTGTGAGTGCATCTCAATCTTTCATACCTTCTTTGTCTCTTCGTTATACACCGTCATTATTGCATTTCTCTTTGTTCAATGTTTAGCGCCAAAACACCACTAAGAGACCTTAACTTGGCACCCAGGGGTCAGCCGCCGTCTGTGGGAAAGCTGCTTCTGCCGCGCGGTTGGACTTGGACAGAAGGGAGATGGCCTGGCTACGCTGCAGCATCACCGACCACCTCTGACGGTAGTGCGCGTTGAGCCGGGCAGCCGTGGTTGTAAGCCGCCCCTTCCGGAACTTGGTTTTTGCTGCGTGGTTGGCCAGCATGCGGAGGAACTGAACCGTGTCCGCGGCCATTGCCCCATATGTCTCCACTGCCAGCCCAAAAAACCCCGCGTAGCTCGGCCTCCCCTCGTAGAGTCGGTGCTTCCTCTGTGAAGCCTCCTCCGCTGCCCACCCTGGCGGCTTGCGGGCCCTGCTGTCCCTGTTTTGCAGCACCGGGTCTGTCACGGTGACATCCGTCACCCACGTCTCTCCCGACTCCTCATCCCGAATGGCTAAGTCGGCCCGCTTCCTCATTACCGGCGGCGAGAAGGCTGAGGTTTCATGGAACGTCTTGTAACCTGCCTCATTGGCCATGCGCAGCGCCGCGAACACCAGGGCGTTGTGGGTCCTAACCGCATCCCCCCCATCCTGGCAGCGGAGCAGATGGTTCGGGAGGCTTTTGTCACCAATCGCCGAGTTGTCACGTTTGCATGGACACACCTCCGCTACCGGTAGCTCCATGCCCAGGCGTAGGCCGAGGGCCAACGAGAATTGACCAGGGGAAATAGAGAGGTCTCCTCTCGTTGGCACTGCGTGTAGCCAGTCACCTGCGCCCGTCCCTGTCAGACTAATCTCTCTCTCTCTCTCTCTCTCTCTCTCTCTCTCTCTCTCTCTCTCTCTCTCTCTCTCTCTCTCTCTCTCTCTCTCTCTCTCTCTCAAGCGGTCCGTGTATTGATAAAAGGGGCAAGTACAAATATGCAGAGAATCAAGCTAAACCAGCAACACTAAACACCAGCAAACCAAACATCCTACCACCCCTACCCCCCCCAAGCAGCCCTAAGGGAGCTCCACCATCGGCTCAAGCACAGCAAAACAGTCCCCAAGGGACATCTCCTCTCCCGGGGCCCCAACAGGTGGGTTCTCTACTGCAGCCGCTTCGTTGCATTTGGCCACGTAACTCATGGCCTGCCCCCTTTGCAACGCCACAGACCACCTTTGGCGGAATTATTGGAGTAGTTTGGCCGCTTGGTAGGTCGAGGGCTTTGCATTGAAGAGCTTACGGGCTGCGGTGTCAGCTAGAAGCTTTAAAAACTTGGGGACCTCCTCGCACGGGCAGCCGTATGTCTCTACGGCGAGGGGCACAAACTCAACGTAGGCTGCTGGGGAGCCGCTGTAGTCCGAGATCTTCTTATCCGCAGCCTCCCTAGCAGCCCACCCCCTCCCTTTGACTGCCTTCTTGTCACGGGTGCTGATAGGATCGGTGATGGTGACGTCACAAATCCACACTGCACCCGATGTCCGGTCCCGAATGGCCAAATCTGCCGTCTTCCTCGCGACCGGGCAGAATTCTGCCGACTCCTTATGCACCATAAACCCCGCGTATTGAGCCATCCTCACGTATTCTCTCTCTCTCTCTCTCTCTCTCTCTCTCTCTCTCTCTCTCTCTCTCTCTCTCTGTCTCTCTCTCTCTCTCTCTCTCTCTCTCTCTCTCTCTCTCTCTCTCTCTCTCTCTCTCTCTCTCTCTCTCTCTCAAGCAGCCCTCCATTGATGTCATGTAAGGGTACAAGCATGGCGGCGGCCCTAGCAAGCAAGCAAGTTAGCCTAGGCATGCAGGGATAGCAACGGACAGCGTCACATGCATGGCATCCATAGCACTAGATTGCTATACTTGGCTGCGAAACAACTCCACACGGCCTTGCGGCTACACCAGTGCCATCCTGCTCAAGCCTGCACCAGAGCCTGCCTCCCTTCCTTCCCACCCAGTCCAGTCTAGCCGGGGGCGGTCTCCTGTGGCTGAGCCAGCCCAACTGCAGTCGGCCCGGCCCTCTACTCCCCCAGGTCGAGTAGTTGGGCCATGTCGTCCTCGAGGATCTGCCAAAGGTCCCCGAGGCTTGGTTCCCACGGGTCAGCCGCCGCCTGGGGGTGTGCTGCCTCGAGTGCCCCGTTGGACTTGGCCATCAGGGCATTCGCTTGGCAGCGCTGGAGCATGACCGACCACCTCTGTCGGTAATGCGCCGTGATCCGAGAGGCCACGGCAGTCAATCTCCCCTGCCTGTGCTTCTTCTTAGCCGCCTGTGTTCCTAGGAGGCGTAGGAACCGTTGGGTATCCTTAGCCAGCGCCCCATAGGTCTCTACCGCCAAACCGAACACCCCACGAAGCCAGGGCGCCCCTCGTACAGGCCCCGCTTCACCCGTGCTGCGTCCTCTGCTGCCCATCCCGGTGCCTTGACTGCCTTCTTGTCGCGTCGCTGCAGGACAGGGTCTGTGACCGTTACGTCAGTGACGTATGTCTCGTTGGACTCCTTGTCACGTATCACCAGGTCCGCTCGCTTTTGGTTAGTGATAGGCGAGAAGGCTGGTGACTCGTGCAAGGTGGTGTAGTCCGCTTCCTGAGCCATACACAGCGCCGCATACACCAGGGCGTTGTGGGTGTTCGTCCTGTCCCTTCCGTCGGCACACCGCAGCAGATGGTTCGGTAGGCTCCTGTCTGTGATGTCCGACCGCTTGCCTCTGCAGGGGCACTTCTCCGTCACTGCCAGTGGCAGACCCAACCGAAACCCAAGCGCGACTGCAAACTGGCCCGGTGAGAAGGTGAGATCACCTCTCGTGGGGATAGCGTGCAGCCAGTCCCCCGCCCCCACCCCCTGTAAACTGATGAGGCGGATCACGTGTCCGTTGTCCACACCGGGCTTGTCCTTCCTTGTATCCCCCACCAACTCCGCCGCCCTGTCCTGGTTGATGTTCCTAGATAGAAGTAGCTGCAGGTGCCCTTTCCCGTCCCCCTTCTGGTGGTGCGTCTTCAGTATCTCTCGGGCCTGCTCTGGCAGCCTGTTCCGGAGGTCCTGGAGCGTTGCTCCCTCTCCCCCCGCCTCGTCTTCTTCCCTCATGGGAGAGAAGAGGTCCGCCGCGCGCCGCAGAGGGTTGTCGTGCTCCGTCGCCGCTTGTCGGAGCAGTGTGTTTGCCGCATGTAGTGAGGCTAGGTACGCCGCTGGTGCTTCCGAAAGTGGGTCTATCAACCCCAGTCCCCCTAGGCAGACCGGGAGCGTCGCCTGGCGCCACACAAGGCTCTGCTCCAATTCGCTGGCTGGTGCGTACATCTGGGCAGCTTTCAGCGCCGTCCATAGCAGGTTCTCGCTCCAGTCTCTCCATTCCACCAGGGGTAGGGTGTCCGCCGGGGTAGTGCGGAGCATGTACGAGATGCGGCGCGACACGCATCTTGAGAGTAGAAGTAGAGCGTGTTGGGGGTGCAGTTTGCTGATGAGGGAGAGCGGCTCCGCCACGGTGCGAAGAGCTGACCGAATGAATCTCCTCCCGTACTCCCTTGTCCCCACCGGGCTCCCAAGCACACGTATGCCGTCGATCGCCGCCACCAGACCATCTGGTAGTCCGTCAAGGCAGCCCGCCGGACTCCACGCAGAGGATTTCTCCATGTTACACCTCAGGCCACACTTCCATAGCTCCTGCGCAATGATGTGTACTCCCTTGATAGCCTGAGCCGGGGGGGCGATGATCGTGATGTCATCGGCGTACGCCATGACCGTTGTCGCGGGGCACGTCGCTGCTGCTTTCAGTAGGGACGGCTGGATGGCCGCCGCGAAGAGCATGGGCCCGAGTGGGTCTCCCTGCCTCACCCCCCGCGTGCTCTCGATGTAGCGCTCGTCGAAGCCTGGATCTAGGAGAAGGCGAGCTGGCGCGCCGTAAAGACTGCGGGCTAGCGGGAGTAGGCGCTCGAGCGCCGACCATTTGAGGGACGTGAAGAAACTCTCCCGTTCCACCGAGTTGAATGCATTTTCTATGTCGAGCTGGATCGCGATTCGTGTAGGGTCCTCCGACAGCAAGGCCCGTGTAGTGTGTATTACGGTCTCCGCTCCTCCGGCGACGGCCACGCCAAACTGGACCGGGAGAAAGAAGCGTCGGATCTCAGGTGAGAGCTTGCGCAGTGCTGCTTTCGCTGCTATCCTAATAATCGCCTCACCTATTGCGATAGGCCTGACCCCCCCTCCTAGCTTCTCCAGTGCTATCAGTCGCGACGGTAGCAGCAGGTCTCTAAGAGGCTCGTTTAGGTATTTGCCGAGTAGTGTGTTGACGAGCTGGTGCAGGAGGCTGAAGACTTCCCCGTTCACTAGCGCGGGGTCACGTAGGTGTTCAAAACAGGTTCCAGATGGCCCTGTCCCTATCCCATTTGGGCACTTAGCTAAGACCTCGCGGAACTCGTCAGCGGCGATTGCCAGGTCGGACGACTCGTATCCGGTAACCCAGCCTGGTGACGGTTGACTGGCCACCGGGTGTTTAGCACGAAGTGCAGCGAGTGTCGCGGGCGTTTGGTCGGCGAGGGGTGTCGCCTGTAACGCTGACAACGCTTTCGCCAAATTTGCCTTCCGTACCAGACCCTCTGCTCTGGCACACATCCCCTCGGGGTCGGGTCGATGTCGACTTGGCTGTGGGTTCGGGGGGATGATGGAGGCTTCCAAGAAAAGCAACTCCCATTCCTCCTCTTGAAATTGCTGCAGTCGTTTTTCCACTGGGCCCCAGCCGCTTCCCGGAGGTTTCTCGAGTTCGGCTCGTAGGGTCAGCCTCGGCAAGAAGTGTAGAATCCGCCAAGCCCCGGGGCAGCTCGGAACTTTCGCCAGTCGCAGGAGGGGTATCGTCATGCAGTAGGCGAAGACTCCCAAAATCTTGGGAGGAAGCTTCCGGTACAAAAAGGGCTGCGCGCTGCAGCACAAGGGCTCTAGATCCCACCCTTCCACCTGGCGCCAGGCGTCCGATTCAGCTGCTATGTCAGCTGGTGATCGTGCCTTGCTGGCTGCCTCGTTGGGAGGACCGCCACGTGACTCAGCCTCGTTGGTGGTAGCTTCGTTTCCCTCCCCCCGAGCCCTCTGATTTACCCTGTTACCCGAGATACCGCCCTCATCCTCGAGTGATACATCCTCCGAGTCACCTTGCTCCTCCTCCATATATTCTTCGTCCCCATCCTCCAGGTCCTCATTCATTGGCCCTTCTTCCCTTGCTCTCTCAGGCCTCCCATGCCTTTCCCGCCAGGTTCCGGATCTGGCTTTCTCCCTAGCCACAGCCGCTGCCAGACCCCCCCGTCCCCATGCCCCCCGTCCGCCGCGGCCCCTCGAGGCGTGCGGTTCTGCCCCACGTGCTCTTGCCGGTGGGGTTCTTCCCGCTGCTGCCGCCGCTGCTTCCGCCGCGCGTTCGCGTAGCAGTCTCTGCCGTGCCGTCCCCCGGCGACGGCGATCCAGGGCCGTCACTTGGGCTTCCTCTTCCGCTGCCGCCGCCTCGTCCACCGCGGTCTCCGTCCGCGGAGCCGCATCGTCGTGCCCGTTTGCATCGGGTCGTCCTACGCCAGATGACGGGCCGCCGCCGGCCACCTCAGCGTGATGTAATTGTAGCAGCGGGATTGCCTGCTGTGCCCATCCAACCAGCGGTCCCGGGCGGGCAGGTGCCAGCCTTGTTCCGAGCCGTCGCGGACTGCCTGACTGCTGGTGCCGGCGTCGCGACTGCCGTGTTACCGAGCG